CCACACGCACCCAAAAAACAACATAGTTATCAGGGGTAGTTTCTCTGTCCATCTGTCCGTCTCACCTGCTGGTCCAGAAAAGTAAAACAAGAAAACAAAGACTCAGCTGAAATGTCTTTCAGAGAAGAGACGTCCAGAGTCTCACGTTTATATTTGATTAAAATGAACACATGTATGCATATATAAAATATATATAGAATATATATTTGAAAACAATTTGGGTATCAAATTGTCTTATATATGTATACACGTATGCATATATAAAATATATATAACATCTACAGTATATTGGAAAACAATTTAATACCCAACCCATAGTTAAGAAAATATATTTTTTTAACTATTGTTTGGGTATCAAGTTTTCTTAGATATGTATACACTTGTATGCATACATAACATATATAAAATATATATAAAATATATAAGAAAACAAAGATTCAGCTGAAATGTCTTTCAGAGAAGAGACGTCCAGAGTCTCATGTTTATATTTGATTAAAATGAAGAATCTTCGCATAGGCAAACTAAGGTCCGCGGACCGGATGCGGCACATTCGTCTCTTTAATCCGGCCCGCCAAACATTTCCGAATGAAATCATTTATTTATATTATAATTATTAGTATACTTCTGCCTTTTCCCTGCAATGTACATGTTTCCCCAATAGATGGCGTAGAAAATGATAAAAGCATTTTAGCATTTTAGCCTTTAGAATCAAAAAGTTAGCCCACTATTTTCTTTAAAATATTGCTTGGGTATCAAATTGTCTTGTGTTATATATATATAAAATATATATAAAATATATATCAAATATATATAGAATATATATTTGAAAACAATTTGATACCCAAACAATAGTTACAAATTTTGTTTTAACTATTGTTTGGGTATCAAATTGTCTTATATATGTATACACGTATGCATATATAAAATATATATAAAATATATATTTGATAACAATTTAATACCCAACCCATAGTTAAAAAAATATTTTTTTAACTTTTGTTTTGGTATCAAATTGTTTTCAAATATATATTTCTATATATATTTTATATATATATTATATATGCATACATGTGTATACATACATTTTGTTTGGGTATCAAGTTTTCTTAGATATGTATACACATGTATGCATACATAACATATATATAAGAAAATAAAGACTCAGCTGAAATGTCTTTCGGAGAAGAGACGTCCAGAGTCTCACGTTTATATTTGATTAAAAACAAGAATCTTAAATGAAGAATCTTCGCATGGGCAAACTAAGGTCCGCGGACCGGATGCGGCACATTCGTCTCTTTAATCCGGCCCGCCAAACATTTCCGAATGAAATCATTTATTTATATTATTATTATTATACTTCAGCCTTTTCCCTGCAATGCACACCTTTCCCCAATAGATGGCGTAGAAAATGATAAAAAGCATTTTAGCATTTTAGCCTTTAGTCAAAAAGTTAGCCCACACCTGCTGTAGACGGTCGCATGTCTAACTGTGTGTGGTCACCGCATAACATTTTTGTTCAAACTGACAGATAACTAAGTCCCCCAGTGGTGACTGCTGGTTCTGACAGGAAATGGGTAAAAAAAAAAAAAAAAGAAGATTTTTATAAAAACAATTAAACCAAGAAAACGTAGCTTTTATAATGTAAAATTAAATATAAAAAAATTAAACCTTAGTTTGACACACACATAAACAGTACATATATGTATAAACATATATATATATTTAACTATTGTTTGGGTATCAAATTGTCTTATATATGTATATATATGTATACAAAGACAATTTGATGACATGTAGACATGTATGCATATATAAATTATATATAGAATATATATTTGATAACAATTTAATACCCAAACAATAGTTAAAAATATTTTTTTAACTATTGTTTGGGTATCAAATTGTCTTATATACGTTTGCATGTATACACATGTATGCATATATAAAATATATATAGAATATATATAGAATATATATTTGAAAACAATTTGATACCCAAACAAGTAGTTAAAAAAATTTTTTTTTTACTATTGTTTAGGTATCAAATTGTCTTATACTGTATATGTATATATGTATACACATGTATGCATATATAAAATATATATAGAATATATATAGAATATATATAGAATATATATTTAAAAACAATTTGATACCCAAACAATAGTTAAAAAAATATTTTTAACTATTGTTTGGGTATCAAATTGTTTTTAAATATATATTCTATATATATTCTATATATATTCTATATATATTCTATATATATTTTATATATGCATACATGTGTATACATATATACATATACAGTATAAGACAATTTGATACCCAAACAAGTAGTTAAAAAAATTTTTTTTTTACTATTGTTTAGGTATCAAATTGTCTTATATACGTTTGCATGTATACACATGTATGCATATATAAAATATATATTTGTTTTTACATGTTTGTGTATCAAATTATCTTTATTTTATGAATTCTATATATTTTTATCACTTTTTTTATTTATTTTTTGAATAAAAGAGTCTTTTTTTCTTTTTTAATCAGAATCCAGAGTCTAAATTTCTGTCGTCTTTGAAAACAGTACCAGACCCTCAGACAGTTCCAGGTCCGGGCGTTGATGCGGTCTCCTCACCTCGGTCCTCGGTGGGACCCGGGTGAACTCGGAGATCCGTTAAACGACGGCCGTGATATGTTTCAGTGTTTTCCCGTCGACTTCCTGTCTTCCTCCAGAGATTTCTGCTCGGCTCTGACCTTTGTGTTGGGAGATGTTTTCCTCCCCCGTGTGCATGTGCGCCTGTAACGCCGTGGCTCTGTTGATCTGTTTGGTATCCGTGCGTGTTGTAGAACAGGGGGGAAAACAAATCACCCGCTGTAGTTCTCATTAGCAGCAGTTTGGTGTCAGCGCGGCGAGATCGGCTGTCAGCTGCTCCGCCGTCCTCGGCCGCTTCACCTTTTACAGACCATAATTACACCATTTAACGCCAACACTCCTCAAACTGCTGCCCGCGGAGTCGGACCTGCCGTAATGGGCCGGCGGGAAAAAAAGGGCTTTTACTTTATTAAAAAAGGAGGGAAAAATGTAAAGCTGGAGGCCATGTTTTTGAAAGGCGGTATGGACTGTGAGGACAGCTAGGGGGCAGTGTTTGTGACCGCTAAAAAAAAAGGAAGAAAAAAAAATAGATGTACGTTGTGGCAAATTGAGTACAAATCATTAGTTCAGGCGAAAAAAAAGGAACCTCTAGTGGCCGCCATTATCTGTGCAGCGCAACCTCAGCCGAATGATTTTGCTAATGTAAAAGGATCAATCGATAGATTAGCGCCCCCTACAGTAAGAAAGGAGAATTACTCTACTACAAAAATCTTCCTTTTTAATGTTATTGTCACTGTGAGACACTTTATTAATCTGTGTTAATCCATGTTAATCTGTGTTAATCCGTGTTAATCCTTATTAATCTGCGTTAATCCATGTTAATCCATGTTAATCCATGTTAATCCTTATCAATCCTTGTTAATCCTTATTAATCTGTGTTAATCATTACTAATCCATGTTAATCCATGTTAATCCTTATTAATCCTTGTTAATCCTTATTAGTCTGTGTTAATCCTTTTTATTCCATGTTAATCCTTGTTAATCTGTGTTAATCATTACTAACCCCCGGTAAATACAGATTATTAATCTGTATTTATACTTATTAATCCAGGTTAATTCTTGTTAATCCATGTTAATCCTTGTTAATCTGTATTGATCCTTATTAATCCTTAATCCTTGTTAATCTGTGTTAAACTTTATTAATCCTTGTTAATCCGCGTTAATCCTTATTAGTCCATGTTAATCTTTGTTAATCTGTATTGATCCTTATTAATCCATTTTAATCCTTATTAATCCTTATTAATCCATGTTAATCCTTGTTAATCTGTATTGTTCTTTATTAATCCCTGTTAATCCTTGTTAATCTGTGTTAATCCCTATTAATCCTCTGATAATCTCTAAACTGAAGCAGAGTCGTGGGCTCAGGTAATCAGATAAACTTTATTTCACAACAGCACGTTCCGCGGTACAAAACGAACAGATTGGCTGGTTTCAGTCAGAAAACCGTTGATATGTTTCTCATCAAGTCGCGCGGCAGACGTCAGTGGATGACGACACTACACTGGACAGTGTAGTGTCGTCATAGTGTCGTTGTTGTGGCTGATTTTGATTGAACGGAAGAAACATTAAAAAAAAAATAAAACAACAACTGTCAACTTTGGTTCGGTGACAACAGTCAGAGTTGATAGAAAAAAAACACAATCGTAAATACAGGCTAGGACACATAAATACATCGGTCGGAGAAACAATTTCAACAGGACTTTTCTGCCGTTTGTGCTTTTTTGCGAAACAGGTTGTAACGTAAACAAACATAATTAGGAAAAAAGTATACATAAACGTAAATACTCGACACCTGCTACAGTTTTTTTGTTGGTTTTTTTTGCATATGTTTTATATTGAGGATATTTTCCCGTTGATCAAATGCATAGAGAGTCGCAGGATTGACCGAAGGAAAACATTTTGGCAACAAGACATTGACGCTACAGTGTTACTGTTTAAGTGCAATCGTTCGAGGTTTCCGTCGTGTTCGTTCCTGTTTGTCATTTCGTAATAGGTTTTTTACCAGTGTAAACAGATGTTTTTTTTAAGAAAAGCATTACTATCGGTCTGTTAGCGTCATAACTCCAAACTCCAAATTTAGAAAAAAAATAGCGCGTCACACTTAGCATTGTAGCTAAGTTCGCTAATATATATCTGATAAACATTTTTCCTGTCGTAAATTAAAATGTAAACTTCCAGCAGGTAACTGGGAATTCGCTACCTCAGATGGGAATGCTCTGTCGTTAGGCTAACATCCAGTTAGCATCGAGCTACATGTATAGATTCTTAGACAGACCCTGTACTTGGTAAACAACAATGGTACGTGAACATCCCACGATGCTGTACGTCTGGATTTGAGATACGCAGTTTCACTAAATATACGAAGTAAACATTTTGAATATTTTAGATTTTTTTTTTTTGTGGATTAGCAAAGCATTTCATCGGACGTGTGATTTTTGGCAAATGCAACTGATTCCAAAGATATGAATTTTAGATACGAGTTTGTCGCTCTGAACAACTTTACCAGCCGTCCACCTCCACGACAAACGGTTCTTTGACGGGAATCCGGCCGCTGTTGACGATCATGCACTCCGTGTACGGCAGGTTCCTGTCGTTGGTGTCCTGCAGCTCGATGGTGTGGACCACGGCCTGAAGGAGAAAGGACGAAGCCTATTGGTCAAAACCTTAGATTGAAGATTTACGATCCCGGCGACCCTTGCATTGTGTGGAGCAAGAAAACTGGTGCGAGATAGAACACCTGTTTCCCAAACTTTTTTTTTCTGGGGACCCGTATTTTAAAAGTCGCAAACTTTCACGACCCAAGTCAATAGATGTTATTTGTAAACTCCTGGGAAAGGACCCCCAAAAAACAAGCCCCAAAAAACAACCAAAAAAAAAAAAAAAAAAACAATCCCCCCCAAAAAAACCCCCAAAAAAGTCTTTGGGAAACGATCAGATAGAACACCTACCATCCCATCCAGAACTTTGCCAAACACCACGTGTTTCCCATCCAACCACGGCGCCTTGGCAGCCAGGATGAAGAACTGCGATCCGTTAGTATCCGGCCCGGCGTTTGCCATACTGACCTGGTGAAAACACGATAGCGCGTGTAGCGCTGGTGTTATGGGTTACGCTCTAACTGTAACAATCCCTTAAAAGACCCGACAGCTACGACAACACAGATCGGAGCAATGGCCGCCAACACACACTCACCCAGCTGGCTCCCATGTGCTTGAGTTTGAAGTTTTCATCCGCGAACGTCGTCCCGTAGATGCTGTGGCCTGGAGGGAAGGACGGGGGACAAATGTGAACAAATACGTACACCAATCCACAGTTAGTGACCGAGTACAAGCTCGGTCTGCGGTGTCCTACCTCCGGTCCCATCGCCGCGGGTGAAGTCTCCTCCCTGGATCATGAAGTCTTTGATCACTCGATGGAACTTGGTTCCTTTGTAGCCGTAACCTTTCTGTAGAAACATGTAGCGTTAAACTCTCATTGTTAGCGTTGAGCCCTAGAGTCTTACTTAGGTAGGTACAAGGGTTTCCCCAACTTTTTTTTCTGGGGACCCTTATGTTAAAACTTTCGTGACCCAAGTGAACAAGACATTATTCGTAAACTCCTGGGAAACATGGTGCGAGACGACCCAAAAAAATTTTTCTAGCGACCCACCTGAGGGTCACGACCCACTCTTTGACCCCATGACGCTGACACTCCCGTTCTTTTTTTTTACCTCTCCAGTTGCCAGAGCGACAAAGTTTTTGACGGTGCGAGGGACGACATCTCCAAACAGCCCGATCACGATGCGTCCCACCTCGTGTCCGTCCACTGTGATGTCAAAAAACACCTGGACACAGAAAGGTGAGGACATGGTGTCACCGAGTCTTTAAACGGTCACTTCCTGTGGATTTGACTGTTTCCTCCAATAACGTGTGTCCAACTCAAGGCCTGCGGGCCCGATCTGGCTCGACAAGTCATTTCGCAATACAACGGTGACCGGCTGCTAATCAACGTTGAATGCGCTACTGTCAGTGGACAGACGAGGTCACCAACGAGTCATCAGGTTTTTGTTGAGACTTTATGTTAAGTTCTTTATTGAGATGTGGAAGAGTCGTATCGTTTTGAGTGACACTTGGTCGTAACAACAGTCACCTGTTTGCGTAGTCAGGACAGCGCCATCTGTGTTCGGTCCTCTCCTCCACTGAAGAACTACTTACACAGATGTATTTATTGCGGAACATATAAACAGATATAACAAATATATCCTGCATATTTATCATTATTATTTATAACACCTTTTTTTTTACTCCTTAATATTCTCTCCAAAAGTATTTGATTCTGTGTTATATTGAGTACATTAAAAAAGAAGTATTTTTCCTATAATTTATCTTATCATAGTATATTATATTATACATATACACATATATGTGTATATATGTATATGTGTGTACATATATACATATATGTGTATATATACATATATGTATCTATATTTTATATAGATACATATATGTGTATACACATATATACATATATGTATATGTGTGTATATATATATACACATATATACATACACATGTATATATGTGTATATATATAAATATATGTGTATATGTATGTACAGTATATATACATGTCTATATGTGTGTATTTATATACACACATATATACAGATGTGTTTATACATATTTTGTATATATATATATGTATATGTATATGTATATGTGTGTATATATACACATGTACTGTATGTGTACATATGTGTGTATATATATACACATATACGTATATATGTGTATATATATACATACACATATGTACATATATATGTACAGTATATATGTGTGTATATATATACACACACAGATATACAGATACAGATAATATACAGATATATTATATTATATTATTATATATATATATACATATATATGAAATCTACATATTCCTCATGGTTCTCCTGCAGGAGGAGCTGTGTTGCTCCTAGGTGTGTAACTGTTTTAATAACAGCTGTGTGCGCGTATTTGTATGTGTCTAGTGGGAGGGGGAGGGTGTGGGGCAGGCGGTGACGTGAAGGAGTCTGCACTGCGCATCTGGATGGGACACGTCGGCACGTGTAAATCTCTGTCTCTCTCTCTCTTACTCTCTTAGTCTCTCTCCCCCTCCCTCTCTCTCTCTCTCTTAACGCGTCGTAGTAGTGACAGTATGACCTCAGGCGTGAACGGGTGAAGTGCCTCGCGTGGGAAATAAAAATCACGGATAGGTGAGGAGAGGAAAGGAGAGGAGAGGAG